CCAAGTATACTTTGTGTCTGTCCCTTCATGCCCATGATATCAACAGTTACCCACACTGGTCCCACAACCTTGCATAATGTTCTGTCACACCACAGAGCTTCTGTATGGCTTCTGGTACTCCTTTGTGATCCAACACCTTGATACTCACAAGGGTTTGCTGAGATGCAGAATCTATGACAATGTTGCACTTTTGGTTATCCAGCTTTCCTGTCATGTAGACACTATGTGTACTTGCCATTTTACACTTAACTGTTGGGACTTTCACAATGGAGGTTGGTGGGCGTCCCTCAGCACGAACCACTACTAGTTTCCCGAAGCTGACCTATTGGTAGTATTCTTCTTACACTGGCTCCTCATATGTCCTTGCTCTCCACAGTTCCAACAACCTTTCTGGGTAGCAGCCTTTCCTGCCGTGGCATCTTCCCTGTTTTGAAGTTGCCGGCATTGAGCTCTCTTGTACCCAGATTTGTTACAGTGATAGCAAAGTCCCTCAAACTTCTCCAAAAGCTGCCCTCTTCTGGCCTTGAATCCCAATAACTGTACCAACCTTGTTACCTCTGTGCTGGACTTAACGTAGGATTCAAATTCAAGAGCTCTGGCCATTGCATCCTGTATAGTAGAGGGGTGTGCTTGCTTCACTTGTATCTTTAGTTGTGGACTGTCCAAGGCATCTACAAACTTCCCTCAGCAACAACTTGAGGACATCAGGTGGTGCAGTTGGATAGGCCTTGTGTGCCATACTTTCCAAATCCTGTGCCAGCTCTTGCAGGCTCTCTCCATTAGCATGGACTCTCATCCTAAACCTAGCTCTGTAGACTTTGGACTGATTTTGAGTTCCATACCTGAGCTCTAGAGCAGCTACCAGTGCTCTATAGTTGTGCCTGCCGTCTGCTGACAACTGTCCAAGTATTTTCAGTGGTTATTCCTTCAGGCTTGTTGCCAGGTGCACTGATTTCTGCTCCACTGTCCATCCATTCATTTCTGCCAGTAGCTCAAATTGTGCTTCCCATGGTGCCTTCCCATCGAATACCTGTGGCTTCCTTCATACTAGATCACCCCTATTACTGACACTCATGTCTGGAATGTGACTTCTGACAGGACTGAAGATGTCTGTGTTATGGTTTAGCTGCGGGGTCTGGAAGGGGCTTCTCGTTTCCTGTGGTTGATTAGGTCGATGGCTAATATATCCTCTTTATGTAAAAGACAGTAAATCATTCTTTAATGTATTGAATTCATTTTGAAATTTCCTCATATTTTCCATTTGTGTATGCTGGCTTTCTCTCAACTGGAAACTTTCTTCTTGTTTATTGTTTATTCTTATTGTTTTCTTTCTCCTCCAACCACTGCTGTAGTCTCTCTTTTTGTTCATTTTCTTTCTCCTCCAACCATTGCTGTAGTTTCTCTTCTTGTTTCTCTTCTTTTTCCTCCAACAACTGCTGTAAACTCTCTTCTTGTTTC